ACAATCAAAAACAATACCAACCTAGTCAAAAATAGCGGAAATAATTAAACAAACCATGAATCAACGGATCTACTCCGGCTCCTCCCCACAACCCGACGGAAGTATCAGAAACAATGACATATATGAACCCATCGTAACCCCGCCATATAAACCCGTATAAATTCATATTAATTCCCCCAGAATCTAAAATCCATGTCCATTTCCCGACTCCTCACCTCCCACACCCTCAAAAAAACAATGGCCCCTATCGAGCGAATCACCCTCTTCAAGATCCCCAACGAGGCGGATCGCGACCGCGTGCTGGAGCAGTACAAGGTCCTCGCGAAGACCGCTACAAAGGTGAGTGCATATTGTTCTTTTCTACACAGGCTCTGCGCTGTTTGGCTACATGTACCATGCTGTACTATGCTTGCTGTACTACGTAGCCATTCGGGAGATTCGGAATGAAACGCAATTGAACGGTTATTAACGGGTGTTTTCTTTTTCTGTTTTTAGGACGGCAAACCCTACATCCTCGCTGCTGCTGTTGGCGCTTCGATCCCTGATCCTCGTAATAAGGGGTACAACTTGTCTGTCAAGACGACTTTTGCTTCGATGGAGGATATGAAGTACTATGATACCGAGTGTGAGGCGCACAAGGCTCTCAAGGCTTGTGCGGCGCCTGTCAAGGAGGATGTGTTGACGAGTTACTATGAGAATATTCTGTAATGGATTCAGAATTGAGAGATGGATTTGTGCATGTTCGATCTTCATATAAAGAGAGTATAGAGCTAAGGTAGAGAGCTGGCCACATGCAGAAGCTAGATAATAGGATGAACAAAGTCCATTGATGATGTACATGCATACGTCTAGTACGCCCTGCCCGAGGATCGGAGATAGACATACACACTAGAGCAAATATAATTCAACACAAGGTAGCGAAACACCGATGCCTTCCAAAAATGGCATGCTGAGAGCTTGGAGAAAAGAGTCGTAAAAGGGCAAATCATGATGTCGGCTCAAAACGGAGAAAAGCAGGTACGGGGAGCAAATCAGGACAAAAGCAAATGACCCGGCCCATAAGCATGGTGCAAATGCGCAGGATAGGACGTGATCGCAGATCCTCGCTACCACATCTGCGCATTCCAAATATACAGAACCGGATATTGCTATCCGGGTGGAGTACTAATAGAAGCAACGTTGTGACAATCAGTCGAGGGCACGACGCAGGTCGCTCCATTTCTGGCGGAGATTCTCGTGATTTTCGGAAATCTGTTTGAGCTCGTCAGTCTCGGCATCTCACGCTGAATGATAAAATATCTTACCTCTGCCCACTTCATTTTCGTGGCAACCAACTCCTTCTCCATATCGGACATTGATTCTTCCATCGCGCGGTTCTCGTTTTGCACCTCGATGTTCCGCTTCATGATCCGCTCCATTTCTGCGCGGAGCTTCTCCTCCACTTCGGCCGGCTGCTTGTCGACCACGTTCTTAAGTTGGCCGACCTGGAGTTCCAGCGCATCCTTGAGGTCGCGCAGCTCCTCATTCTCAACCTTCACGTGCACCAGCTCGGAAGCCAATTGCACATGCTCCTTGTCTGATGCTTCGGCACGTTCCTCGAGAAGTCGGACACGCGCGCCCTGCGTGATCACGGTGTGCCGCAAGTGCTCCAGCTCGACTTCACGCTCTTTCTCGGTTTTGGTCTTTTCCTCCCATTCGGCGGTGTACGTGGTGAGCATCTCGGACGTGAGAGGAATGGCGCAAGCGTCCTGTACCATGATGTCGGATCGGTAAATCTCTTTATCAGAGGCACCAGAGCTTCCGAAGAAGCCTGACTCTAGGATTGACGAGGTGGATGGCTGCTTGTCAATGTAGGCATCGAACAAACGCTCTTTCAAGAAAGTAGTGAGCATACTCATATCTTTCATTTCAAGCAGCGCGTCTGCGTTTCGTCGCATGATCGCAACGCCGAATTTGAGGATGGTGGTTTCTAGCCCTTCTTCGAATATCAGGTCGTAGATACGAAGGACTAGTTGCAGCGGGAAACGGTAGGCGAACAGCGTCAAGAACCACTGGGTGGCGTACAGCTGAGGAGGAACTCCACGGCGCCGGAGATGGCAGTAGAGAGCAGGTTCTAGGTCTTCTAGCAGTCGCTCAAATTGGTATAGGCTACGGTGAAGCCCAGGCATATCCTGAATGAACATATCTCGTAGAGAGTACTTGTTCATCAGCTTGACCATCATGGCGAAAGCATCGACTTCGTCCATCTGTGTAAAACGTCAGCCCATGAGCTCAGTCGGCCTAATTGAGGGTATACTCACGTTGAATAACAATGGCATAGCAATAAAATTCATGCCTTGCGCGTATCCAACTCCCGGATCATACAGGGCGTATGCCTTGCACAGCCCAAAGAGGCCTTCTTGGCTGCCCTGGGAAACAAAGTATTTCGCGTAGCTAGTACGAGCTCCCAGGTCTCGCCTGATGGTCTTCTCCAATTTCTGCAGCGCAACGGCGTCTATCTTTGCTTTCTTGAGACGGTCGGCGTCATTGGAGGTATGTTCCTTGCACAATTTATCTGTTTCTCCTTCGTTAGGCGGGCTAGGGGCAGCGCTGCTGGACCGTGAGCCGGAACCTGAGGGGTGGGAGCGGACTGAAGAGCGTGAAGACGAACTTTCAGTGCCATTTATTGTTCGTCCATCTTTGTCTTGTGCTGTGCCACGCGCCACGAGGTCTCGATAGATGTCCTCCATATCGCCAGTATGACAATCTGCCAAAATTTGCCAAATCACTCCTCGGATCGTCTGCGGGATACCTCGTTTGATGGCGGCATTCAGTTCCTCTGAGCTTGCCAAGGCCTTGGGCCCGTTGTTCACAAGGTGCTGCCACATCTCCCAGTCCACGGGGATGGAAGCATCAGCCACAGAGCCCGTTCTCCCAGGACCGACCGTCCTCGAAGGTGAAACGACTCCTGACGCTACCAAAATGCCATCCTCTCCTTCCTCTGGGATGATAGGGGGGCTAGCTCCAGACTGGCTAACGCTAGCCTGGCCCGATTGCACGCTCGTCTGATCGACCTCTGGAGCATGGCTCTCCTCGCGTAGGCGTAACATCTTGAATTGATCCTTCAGGCTATTGCGTCTCGGCTTCTTTGAGCCGATACTCGAGACGTCGTCACCATCACGAGCGAGATGGTCTAGGTTGCTGCTGAGGGTCGATACGGAGGTGGCAGTGTTTCGTCGGCTGGCAGAGGAGGGTGGGGATTTGATGTCCTTAGCATTAGTCGCGGTTGAGCTTCGAGTGAACCACGCAAAGGGGCCACTAGGCTTCCGAGGATGGGCTGGCTGGGGAATAGGTGGATTCTTGTTCACAGGAGGAGCCGCCCATGGGACTGAGGGCAAGCCACCCGACAGACCCATCAAGCCTGCACTTGCCGGAGGAGCGGGATCGTTCTTAGGAGGCAACGGAGGCGGTTCTGTTTGGTCCCCTGGGCGCTGTGCCTTGTGTGTCGACTCGTCTTCCTTGCTGTTCATCAGGTTCACTTCGTCGAGCGATGATGATGTTGATAAACGGCGGGACGTGAGTAGAGGTGACTTCTGCAGTGGGCTCTGATCGTGATCTTCTCCGTTCTTCTCGACCTCTGTCTGCGTAACCTCGGACCCTTGTTCCGGCTTATCACCCTGGGTGGGCTCATCGGTCGCTGTGTTCACCCCGTGGTTGGTGTCGGGATTATTCTCATCGCTGGTACCCGTTCCTTCATCTTGCCCCTTCCCCATATTCTTATTGTTCTTATCATTCTGTCCATCCAGCCCCTCGCCATCCCTGATTTGCTCCTCGGCGGTCTCACTCTTCTGCTCGGCCTGCGATTCAGAAGGTGACGGAGGTTTCTCCGTCAATTCCGGAGACATATGTGAGCCAATTGCCGGACTATCGGTCAACGATCGGGTGGAAGTGGACTTGGGGATGATGACGTTGAGGTTGTTGTTCTCCTGGATTGGGACGGTTTCAAGGGCGTCGTCAAAAGACTCCTATTCGAAGGGCGATAAGCTCGTGTCAAGACAAGCTGGGGTTTTGAAAGATCTGAGTCTGAACCACTTACCCCTTCGTATTCGGGACTTTGTTTAGGCGTCGACATATCGGCCATAGCTGTTTAGATGACCTCACAACAATCAGAAAATAGAACACCCCATAGGATCGCAAGAGAGCAGACGCTCGGAAGAGCTAAAAGACAAAAATCGCAAGTGGAATTCGCGAAAAAGGAAAAAAGATGGAAGGAGGAAGGAGTTGAAGGGGTTTGGTGAGTTTCAAGTGATCGATTCGACCGACCAGGTACACTCGTCGCTGATTGGTGCCCCAACGAGTCACCATCTCCACATTCAAATAGCTATATATCCCATTGTGATTTCGTATTGTTAGACACTCGACGTCTGCTATATGCAGCAAACACTACTTAACGGAAACAATTGGCGACTTAGGTTTGTGTTCTACTTGTACTTGCATGGCATGTTTGTCAGGTCAAATTTCCAATCTGATATGGCATACCAGCGGTTAGAGACTACCGTACAAGGGTGGCCGGTCTTCCATGTAGATCCCCGTCTAATTGTCTCTGGCCAAGACAGCTGTACATGGAAATAGTGACATACATATCTGGTCGATACGATCTGCATGATTGTCAGTCATGTGACTCCACAGATCGTTGATCGTTTGTTTGCTTGTTTGTTTGTTTGTTTGCACTGTTTGCAGGAGTTTGCAGGAGTGGCTCATTCTCAATTTACATCTACCTCTGCAGTTGTACGTATAAAGATCCTTCAAAAAGTTGTACAAAAGACACCAAAAAAGACACCAAAAAAGATAGATATAATATTAATGCTAAGATCATTGGTTGCACCATTGCAGAGAAGGCGGCGGTGAGGTAGTACTTATCACATTCTACAGCTACATCTTTGATTTCTACTACGAAAAACCTACAGGGATCCCTCATTACCAGCAAGGATTTGATTGAGATTCTCAAGCCATGCATACAATCACCATCCCCACTCACTGCTATCGACGTGCCAATTTACCCTGTCGGGTTGTTTGGCCAGTCCGTACAAGACGTAGTAAACATCAGACCATTCCTCCTTCCTATTAATAGGTCCATAAAGTTTGCAACCTAACATATGCCTAGAGATAAAAAGGGTAAGCACATACACCTTTACGTACCACGGGGAATATCACGTACATATTTCCGGTCGATGCATCATAGATAAGCTTCCTTGCAGAAGCGGGTATCCAGCCAACTCCGCACGATATAAGCTGTCTTATGAATGTGTCAGCTTTATGAGTTGGATGAAGATAGTGGATGAACTTACTGGTAGACTCGACGGAATTTTGCGCGAATAGCATCGCGTACGTGAAGCTCATACGTCCAGGAATACTGTGATAGAGGTACCTCAGGAACTTTCTCCCAGACAATGTAGGTGATAAAGCCCGAGGGAACGATATCGTCAGATTCTTGCTGTGCTTCTTGGTAGCCAAGAAGCTTAGGAGCAAACTCACAGCCCTTCTGCATGAGTTCCTTTAATAACTTTAACTCATTGGCAGTTTTTGTTGGAATAGCCTGCTTTGCTCGAATGCTTGACTTCGAATCCTGGGTTTCGGTGATAGGGATTTGCTGATAGATTCGCAAAAATGCCGTCTTAGCTGGGTGACTCTTGCAGTAGCAGAGGAATTTAACGACAGTGTATGGATGACCCAAGCCCGTCGTCGATGTCTTTCTGGTCTCCCAAATGAGAGATTTCCTTCAGCTTCTCGGTAATTACCCATGTCAGAGACGGCAACAGTAAGCCAGTTTGTGCGTTGGCGTCAGTGGTGATCTCAGTGCCTTCAAGGTCGCATACTGAGTTGGTTTTGACGACCTTCATATTGAATCTATAGATTTTGTAAATGAGAATTCTCAATTTGATCCTTTTGAGAGGGGCAGGTGTCAAGTGACCACATACTTACCCCTGTAAGCATAAAGAAACTCTATACACAAATAGTCCTGAGGCATCCTTGGCGGCCTCAGGTTGTATATATATCTAGGGTGGTACCGTGAACTTTAAGAAGATATTGAAGAGGGGACTGCAAAGGGGGCAGCAGGGGCACCGACAGCCCTGCCTGCGAAACATGGTGGGAGCAAAGTCGTTCACTGAGAGTAGTAGGGTGTTAGAGAGTAGAGCACCATGGGGTACTAGAAGAGAAGAAGGTGGAAGGTCTGCTTCAGGGTGCTTTTATACCACATGGCCGCTTGGTCTTGCACTGTGTGGGGCGCCAGGTCGATCAAAAGAGAAAGAATGCATTCAACGAAATGACCAAGGTGAAGAAGGAAAGAAGAAGCAAGTGCAAAGTGGGAAGCAGCCTATTGATATAGCTGACCTTTTGCAAACATTGTAAGCCTCGAACCCTCTCGCTTAGCTATTTAGCAAACAATCCATGAAGTGACATAATCTATGAAGTAAAACAACTATGAATTAAACAATGCAGACAGCAGATAGTCGCCGATCCGTAGAGTTATAGACCAGAAAATCATGCAGATGGTAACACACTGGTACTACAATACCGGAAAAAAAGACAAATAAAAAGACACGACAGGGCCGCAGGCTTAGGTTACCTATTCATATATTTTCACAAGGTCTTCTCAAAATCAAGCCATCTTTCTCGTCGCAATGGATCCAGTTTCTTCACTTCTGAGAGCCAGCTCAGAATCTGGTCCCGATCCTCAGAAGACAAGCTGCCTTCGACCTTGGATGCGAGAAGGGTGCACTCAATTAATGCCTGGTAGATATATTTGCAGTCTTCAGCCCCATCCAACATCTCCTGGATCTCTTCGATCTCATTTCTAATGTACTCCAGCCGGTCGGACGAGCTCAAATTGGGGGCCATAGTTCGTTCAGCCATCGGCGGGTCAAACACACTCATCAGATTTTGGTGATAAAACCAAAGTGACTGATCATAAGGATCAATGAATGCTTGATGAATGAGAGATAGTTCTAAAAACACAAATCAGTATAAGATAGTCTCTGATAAGACAGGTTAGACCAACCATCATCCAACATTCTTCTCCGATCGTCATCGCTGGCAGATTGCTCATCCAAAAGGGATTGGATAAGCTTTGTCCGGTAATGCCACGCGGAGAAGTTGGAAAGATTGGCTCCAATCATCTTCGTGGCATATTCAAATTCCTTCTGGGTCATGCTTGTTGCTTCTTCAGCAGTGCCAAGCTCCTTCAAGGTCTCAACCACGAAGCGTCGATAACCCCACCCGTGGAAATTCCGGCTATCGAGAGTCAACATCTTACCCACAAGGGCAAGTTCTTGCTGCCAGATTTCCCGGGCCTCGGGAAGGGGTAGTAGACGGCGAGCTTCATCCAACAGCCACAAACGATAATTCCAGATCCAGTAGCACTTGGGGAAGCTCCGGAGAAGGGGAATCAGGAAATGTAAATCATTTATGATTAGCTGGGTGATTGAATGGGTAGCAGTCTCATTATCCGAGCCCCCTGCTTGGGAGAACTGATACTGTAGTACCAGACGGCGGTAGTTCCAGGCTGTGTAGTATTCTGGATTGCTAGACAGCAGCTCCGAGATCTTCTTCAAGGTCTCGATTGTGTACTCATGCTCAGCCACCTGTCCTATGTCAGACTCCATTTATAGGTGAGCTCTAAAAGATGGCCAACCTTTTTGGATACAGAAAGCTCGAGATCCTTGTATTTTTCTATCTTCTGCAGCTCTTGCTGTCGCGCCTCGGCGGACTTCTCAGCTGGTTTGTACCGCGGCACACCATGCTATCGCAATCGTCAGCCTCGGAACGGTACAGCATGGGGGAATTATCTCACACTGGGCATTTTCACTCTTTGTTTGACAATAAGAAATAAATAGAATGTGTTTCCTTGTAGGTAGGTTGCTTCGTGTTGATCAGATGTGGCCAACTAGAATTATCTCATTGGTGCATCCATGGATGATGCGGTGGGTAAATTACGTAAGCTCCCCGGCATCTGCATAGCTTCACGTGATCATCACTCTTTCTACTTTGGGGACTTGTCTTTTGCTTCGTCGTCTTTCTCGTCTTGCCGCTATGCCTTGAAAGAGAGGCCTCCTTATACATTCCTTTTTTAGCTCTAGGTCATTAATCATATACAACTTATCGACCTGCATCCAGAACCATGGTAGATATGCAACGTCACTCCTTCGAGGAAACCTCTACAGGCAGTCACAAACATCCATTGACTTCACACTCTCGATCCGAGTCTTCCAGGGACAGTGGACCTGTCCAATTAACTGAATTTGCAACTATCAATTTGCCATTCTTTGAAACATCTACTTCTCAATCATCATTGTCAAAGCCCAAGACGCAACATGCTCTGACACCCGTCCCTCGTTCCAAAGAAAACCGGGTCTCCTCACCCAAAAGAGGTCGCAGCAGAGTGAGAACCACTGGAAATGCAGTAGCAAGGAGTTCCTTTCGAAGTCCTATGTCGCCTGATAGATTCATTCCAAAGCGAGACTTCGTGGAACCAACATCAACAACCTTTCGTGTGGCCAAGCATCCGCAGCGTCTTTCGCCTCAAGAGAGACTATTTCGACGACTTCCTCCCGGGGATGATCCATTTCTACCCACAATCCCACGTAGGGCTTATGTTGCCAACAGACCCCAGCTGCCAACTCGACTCCAGCAGATCCCACATCAACGGCCTCGTCTAGTCACTGAAGGCAATATCACAAGCAACAACGCTGCGCATGAATCTTTGAGACAGGTCAGCTCCGGCGCTGTCTGGAACGTGGGTGGAGCCTCTGCAGTCCTCGATAGTTCCCTTGTCGTGGCTCCTCATGAAACGCCGAGCACTTCGACCAATGGATCATCTGCCCCAGTCTTCGTGGCTCGGTTTTTACCCAGAAAACCCAAATACAGTGAACAAGAAATACATGAGTCGAGGCTTGCGCTTGCTTTGGGAATCGACCCGACGACCAGACAGCTAGGTACTACTTGTCTGCGGTATCTGGATGTCCCCCTCAATCCAGCATCTCCAGACTTCGAGCGCCTCTCCCCATTTGGATGGAAGGACAGTGCTTGGAAGCAAATTGAAAAGGAGCGTTGTAAGTGCAATTGTAGTTTTTAACAGCCACCCCCTGAGCCTACTTTTGGAATACATTTACCATTTACAGATAAAACATATATGATATTCTTAATCCAACTTTTGGAATTGTGAGACTAGCGGTATCCGCAGCCTTCTCCAAGGCATCAACTGACTCGGATTGATTCTCAGGGGCCTTATCTCCTACCAGAAAAGAGGTTGTTCCACCGAAGCCTTTTCGAATCCTTGATGCTCCTTTCCTTCGAGACGATTTTTACTGCAGCACTCTTGCATACTCAACAACATCCGGGATACTTGCTGTGGGTCTGGGTCATCAAGTATATCTCTGGTCTGAAGGTCATGGGATGGATTATCCCCCCTTTCCAGATCTGCACCCCTCAAATTATGTCACCTCCTTGTCATTTTCTTCTGAGGATGGCGAGCGAAGCATTCTTGCAGTGGCCAGGCGGTCAGGTCAGTTGTCTCTATGGAGCACATTCGAGAAGGAAGTCCGGTTTGAGATCAGTCATCCCAGTACCATTACATGTGTGACGTTTAAGCCGAGAACATCAAGGCGACCTTCAGAACGGTTCATGCATATGGAAGTCGACGTGGAAGAGATTGTTGCAGGTGACGACTTTGGAAATATCTGGTACTATTCAGTCGAGTGGTCTGACGAAGAAGATCAAGCTAAGTGGAATTGGAACGGGTCCATGACGCTTCTTGCCAAGATCTGTGCACACACTCAACAAATCTGTGGACTGGCATGGTCACCCGATGACAAATACCTTGCCACGGGTGGTAATGACAACGCCTGCCTTCTCTTTGAGCTGGCTGAGATTGTTTCGCCACAGCAGATGAGTTATATGGTCCCACCCATCACGCCCCCGGACTCTCCTAGCAGCTTCAGCCTCGGTGTATTTCCATACTTTCCTCTGAGCACCGCAAGAAGACGATTGTTCCTTAGACGACCTGCTCTCCCATCATGGCTTGCTGCTCCAGTTAAGCCTCCGGCCGAATCTGCGCTTCTAAACCATGCAGGCACTGTGATCTCCGGTGGGGGACGAACTATTCTGGTCCCATACGGCCGTCACAAGTATCGTCTGATGCACTCCGCTGCGGTCAAGGCAATTGCATTTGCGCCATGGCAGTCATCCCTGCTCGCGACGGGGGGAGGCACCAATGACAAAGCTATACACTTCTATCACACCCGGAGCGGAGCTTGTCTCTCAACCATCAATGTCTTCGCACAGGTAACCAGTCTTATATGGAGCGAGACTCGACGCGAGATCGCCGCTACTTTTGGTTATGCACAGCCAGATCACCCATTTCGTATCGCCGTCTTTGCCTGGCCCAGCTGCGCACAGGTGGCCGTCATTCCCTGGGGGCCCTATGGAACCACCTGGGATGGCCCTGAGACTCGAGTTAGCAACTTCGACTGCGGAAGAGCACTGTGGGCAGTACGATATCCAGGAAAAATCCCTCGTTTCTCGGCTACACGCTCTGCTCGGCCTGGCAGCCAGTCATCTTCACCTTCGTCCTCGTCAGCCCAGACTGGGTCTCCAGAACAAGAGACCCCGACCCGTGGCCGCAAGGTCAGTAGCCGCAAGGTTGGTGCTAGCATGGTCACTCCCAAGGAAAAAGAAGGTGGGATGTGGTGCGCACGAACAAGGGAGGAGGGATGCATTATTGTCGCGTCTAGTGATCAAACTGTGAAATTCCATGAGATCTGGACCGGAAGAAGAACAAGCACTGACTCTGCTTGTGGACTCTTCGGTGGAAGCGACATTCTTGAAGGCCTTGAGGGCATTGAGAAGTCTGGTGGTGAAGTCATTCGTTAGTATTCTTTGTCTTCTTGGGTCTGAGTACAGGGTACTCTCACTATCATTAAGCGCCTATATTTTTATGGTTTAATGCTGCAAGACAGAACTTGGGTAGGTTTATCATTCTTTGTTGCGATGAATTGAATTGTTTCTTGTTTTCTACCGTCCAATCTGCTAAGTATACTCCGTACTATGTTTAACCTTAATTTCGATCCGACTTCACTGTCCTACAGTAGCTATGTACTCTCATTGATGTCATACACACGAGTATAATTCGGGCTCAACTAGTAATATTCCTCCAATATATTGCCCTCTATATTAGTGTCAGCCTATTTTAGGAACTAATACGCTCATAGGCGAGCGCCGATTCCACTCCACCTCCCTTCAGCTCTCTCCCAAAACTATATCTCAGCTCCCAGATCTTCTTCTTCTTCTTATTTATATTTCCTTTCCTCCCAATTACATCTAGCTCACACAATTCACTCCTAATTTCCTCAAAATGCGTCTTCAAACCCTCATCCAGTTCATCTTTCCCTCGGCAATCCTCGCCCAATCTCTCAACGTGACCGTTCTCGGCGCACGCCACCATCGCTCCACCTTAGAGTGCTGGGCTCTCGTGCCGGGATTTAAAACTTCCGCTCAACCCGGGCAGGTCGGCACCGCCGCCTTGAATTTGGGGGATATCGGTGGCAAGGCGTCGTTTGCGGTGTTGCCGGCTGGGTTTGATGGTGGTAGACATAATGCGCCTGCTTTGCAGTGAGTGATTTTCTCCTTCATGCATTTGTTTCGCTATTTCAAGTTAATAATTCTGAATGAGTTACATGTACTATTTGTACATGTTTTTTTTGGTTCTTATAGAGTCCACAATCAGCTAATGCCGCACTAGATGGGTGGTCTTCCTCTCCGGTCTAGCGCACATCACACTCCCCAATTCGACCACCGAGGCCTGGATTGAAGGTGGCAAGAATGGAGTCATTCTAGCTCTCGACACTGCTAATGTCAGTGCGTTGGGTCACTTCACTACCTATCCCTCGCGGGAGCGGACGACATCCGTGCTGATTCCCCTCGGTGAGGAAGGAGTGCCGAGACATCGGGTCCTGCATGAAGGTCCCTGCCGGGGTGAGGAGTTGCTGGTATAAATACCGTGTTTATATGTAGAAAAGTGCTCTGTACGGGTTATCGTATGTATACCTCCTTACAAGGAGCGATATTCAAGATACCAAGGTGAAATTCAATAGACATTGATGGAGACGCAGAGGCGCTCGGTAGAGGCACAAGATATCGAAAGCAAAAGATAAAACAAAGAAGGAAAAAATGACATGCAGACCCGGTTGGATGCATCGAAGGGAAAAAATAAAAAATATGTTCTTTTATAGGCCGTTACCCCATTCTCCCATCTCTAATTCGTACAACTTCAAAAGAGACACGCTTATTTCCTGCCGCCCTTGCTCTTCTTGCCGACGGAAGCAGAAGACTTGCTCTTCTTTGATGGCGGGGGCTGCTGCTGAGCGGCATCGTCGGACTCGTCGTCTTCCGTGTCGGCAATGAAGTCAACCATCGAGCCATCACTATCCTCATCTTCGTCCTCGTCCTCGTTCTCCTCCAGCGATTCCTCGGCGTCGGAAGAACCGACAGACTCAGCAGCCTCAATGTCCAAGATAGGCTCTTCGTCGTCATCCTCATCGTCGCTTCCATCGTCCTCGTCATCTTCAGACTCATCGACGCCGTTCATCATTGACTCGTCTTCATCGTACGCCTGGTCGCGTATTGACTTCCGCGGTGTCTTGGCCTCAGTCTCACTGTCCTCGAGGTCATCTTGGCCCTCGACGTAGATGACATTATCCTCGTCCTCGCTATCCATGCCTTCATCGCCACCGCGGATCGATTGCCGCAGTCCCAATTGCGCATCGAGCATGTCAAGCTTGCCCTTGAGGAGCAGAAGGGAGGGTAGGGTAGCAGAGCGCTGGTCCATGACCTTGTAGAGGGAAGTCATGCGCTTCAAGAGATCGGGGTGGCCAGCCAGGGCGCCGCCATGGGCGACGCAGGTCCACTGCACCCAGACGAGAAGGTGGCCGTAGCGACCAGGCCGGGAGGCGAGGCGCTCAGCGAGTTTTTGAAGCAGAGTTGCGGCCAGCGAGGAGTCGAGACGCTGAATGGTAGTGCGGATGATGGAGGTGTCACCGGTGTGGAAACAAGACTCGAGCATTCCGTTGTCGTTGGTCTTGAGCGACTGTGTGAGGACAGTTGCAAGCGAAACGCCGGTGGGGATCTGTTGCACTACGGCCTGGGGCTTGCCGGGAACCAATGCGCCCAGGAGGACGTCGTCGTCAAGCTCGGCCTCGACGTCGACTTCCTGGCCTGTGTTTGCGCGTAGGAGTTCTCCGAATGATGGCTCCGCGCCCTCTTCTTCCTCTTCCTCTTCGGAGTCGGATGCATTCTGCATCTCGACGTCCTCGTTCGCTGCGACTTGCTTGGTGGGCTTGGTCTTTTTCTCGGTCGAAACCTTGGACTTCTTGTTGTCGTCGTCATCGGAGTCATCCTCGCTGCCAGAGTCGGATGCGTCTTGTCGTGAATCCTCCATCTCTATATCATCATCGACCAGGTTACCCTGCTCGACATTCATGCGAGATTCGTCAACCCGGGTCTCGCCTGCACTCTTAACTCCATTCGTTGTGACAGACGAAAGTGCTGAGCCTGACTTGGTCTTCACCACGGTCTTGATTCCGGTGAAAGAGAGCTCATCGGTCTTTTCGTCGAGGAACTTGACACGCTCAAAGACAGGGATCACACCACCCTCGGTGTATGCAACCACGAGGTTAGGGCCCTGGAACGAGATGGCTGCGACGGGAACGCAGGCGCTGGAGGACTCGGTGTTGGTGATTTTGAGGGTTGCGTTTGCTTTTTGGGTCATCTGTTTCCGGCTCGCCTTGGCACTCGCGGAGGGCGCACTTTGGGGCTGAACAAATGGCTTTGTGAAGAGTTCGATGCTACCATCTGCGGTGACTGCAGCAAGCACTTGCTTCTCCGGGGTGGCAGCGCCATCTGTTTGCAGTGTAATCGACGAGACCTCCTGGTCGGCGACAAGGTTACGAACAAGCTTCTGGGAAGCGACATCAAAGACGTTGATGAAGCGGTCACCATCAGATGCAAGGAATGCACCGACACCAGCAGACTCGGAAGAGGACGAAATGACGGTGTGGATAGGGTTGCGCATGGCCGGGAACTGAACCGGCTCATCGGCCTTCTCGGTATCTATTAAGTACGGGGTCTGGGAAGCGCAGATAAGAGGAGGGTTCGAGGGCACGGGGCGGGAGAGAGCAGTGAAGACTGAGGATGCGGGGAGGTGGATTGTCCTACGGGTATATTAGTTAGGAGCTCGGTATAACCCAGCAAATAACCCAAACTTACTGTGTGCTTTGTCCGGTGCGCAGGTCCCACTGGACAAGCTTATTGTCACCACCGATACTCCAAGCCTCCTGGGCAGGCCGATCGGCCGTGAACTTGAAGTCCTTGATACCCTTGTCATGCGCGCCGGTCAAGGTGCCAACAACCTTATCTTCGGATGGCGAGTACATACGGATATCCGATGTGTTTGTGCCGAATGCAACCACAATGTCCCCCTGGTCCAGGCCATCAACAGCCCCATTGACATCGGAACCGCGCTTGCGCTTCTTTTTCGACTGGTCACGACCCTTGCCTGAGCCACCGTAGTATCCCCAGTCCAGAGAGGTCACTGTTTCCTTCGGCCCCAGGGCATGCTCACACTGGAGGCGTCCTGTCTGTGTGTCGTGAATGCGAATGTGCTGGCCATCGAGGCCTTGGATAACGGACGCAAACAGGGCCAATTGGTACTCTGATGGTGAGAACGCAGCGCGCAGGATCGACGACTTGCTTCCCGCATATGTCATGCCCGACGCCGGCGATGTGGCGGCCGAGGCGACCTTGGTGGATGGGCGAGTCGTCTTCTTTCCCATCTTGGCTGTAACTTTTTTTCTTATCTTCTTTTTTTTTCTCGCAGTCGAGGGTGCGGTGGTGTGAAGATAGATATCAATAGATCAGGCCCAAATAAAAACAGCAAGGATTCCGATAAGACTCTATTTTCTTCCGCCCCTTAGGAAACAAATGGGGGTTTAGGCTGGTGGTTTCGCAGTTGATCCGGACAGGAAAAAAAATGTTCTGTAGAGCCTTGACGGACTAGTCCTAAAGGGGTTTAGACTATAAGAGGTTCTTATCTAATCATATCATCCCGTGATGCTTCAATGTTAGAGAGTATACTATGAGGCCGGGGTAACTCTGCTAGCTTGTTGATTCATTTTGGTAGGTTTTCTGAATTGTTTGTTTTTTATATGCGTTGGATTTCTTTTTAGAGCTGGTGGTTTCATGATCACACCCCATTTCTACGTTTTACGCGCTTTTGATGTCAACATCCCTTTCCTGACGGAATATATATCTCTCACGGTTTTGCAGGCCATTACAACAATACTTCCTCTAGACATCCCCAATATTTATTTTGTAAAATCAGAACCAAAATTTAACGAATTCCAAGTTCATTGTATAGTCCAAAATAATTCAATATATATGAGAAACAGGACAGTAGCTAAACCAAAGCCTTCGGTAACTATATTTAGCAGCTGCAGACAAATCTCAGCCATCTAAAATGTCCAGTACTAAAAATTATGTCTATACTTCAAAGCACCCGGACTTTCATTGGGCAGATCTTCAAGGCCCAAAGTACTCCGTACATGGTTCATAATCATATCATATGACATGAGTACATTTGCATAACCTGTAAGGGTCAGGTAGCCCATCGATATGTACATATGTTGTGCAATATATGTACCGGATAATGCCTTTCCCTTTCCATTTTAGTGCTCACCTCTTGCCGCTCTTTGATCTCAGAGTAAAATTGAGCACGCCTCTGAACAGAGATCATTACATAAGCTGATTAAGCATCATCTGACTGAGTAAGCTACATCAATAAAATGCGACACGTGAGTTTCAGCACGTGCACTCTATCC